TTACGCCTCATATGGGTTCCAGCACGCCGTCCTCTCCGCCGTTTGTGAAGACCATTTGCACGGATCCTGTTATGCACAGTCAATGGTAGTTTTATTTCAGAGCAGTCATGGCGAATACTCAAAAGAGCTTGTGATGAATACTGGAGATTCCTCTCCATTATTGCAGTTGTGAGCAAAGAAGTATCAGAACTACACAAACGATAGTGAGGTGAATTGTTTCCAGCACTAAATGCTTGATGAGATCCGGTAAAAGCATTTACATGTACATGTAGTTCTGTGTGTGCAGGTAGGCCGACGTAAGTAATGGCTGCCAAACAATGTAACGTTACATGTACATAGACATGTACATGTACATATGCAGATTGCACTATCACCAGCAGGGAGACAGCAAAAAGCAGTATTTTGCCGTATTCAGACGAAATAGCATATTTCTCGGCATGCATCATCGATGTATGGTACTTACAGAATCATAGTTCAACGTCAGTGATTAATAACACGGAGTCTGAGGGCAAGAATTCGGCAAAAAAGTCAGAAAATCTCGGAGTATTTAACGTGTGCAGGCAGCAGCTTGAACAGCGCCCTCAATCATGGGTGGATGTGGAAACCAAGACTTCAGTCTGGGTGTGGATTGAAGTATGTTGAAGTTGTGGAGAAGAATGTTGGAAATATTGGGGAGATTGGGGTTGTATGGCAGACATAGAGGTATGCGGGTACTGGCATCCTTTGTGTGGCGGGGATTTAGAGCGTTGGAAAGGTTGACTGTGCGTGCTCTGGCGAATGCTTGATTAATTAGAGTGGAGGGGTAGTTGCGTTTCCGAAGTTGGAGACGAAGAGTTTCCAAACGCTGTTTGAAATCCTCATCATTAGAGCAATTGCGTCAGAGTCGTTGGGCTAGGCTGAAAGGGAGACTCTTTTTGGTGTGGTGGGGGTGGCACGAATTGAATAACAAATACTGGTGGGTGTCTGTAGGCTTGGTGTGGAAAATCCAGTGTGAGTTGGAAAGCTCGTGTGTGAATTTGATGGTTAGGTGGGCGGAGTTACAGTATTCAAGGAACTCATCGAAGGTGGAGCGACTCCCTGACCAAAGCAAGAAAATGTTGTTGATGTATCTCCACCAACAAATGGGTTTGTGTGGAGAATAAGTGAGGAGTTTGGCCTTAAGCTGACCCATGAACTAATTGGCATAATTGGGGGCCATGGCAGTGCCCATGGCCATACCTTGAGTCTGAAGATAATGATTGTTATTGAACTCAAAATTGTTTAATGTGAGTATGACTTTGATGAAGTTCTTGAGTGTTTCTGTGGAGGGTTCTTTAGATGTGCGATCATCGTGTGGTATGTTGGCGTAGAGAGATATGACATCTAGAGAGGCGATGAGTGTGTGAGGTGGGAGGGGCCCAGTTTGATTTATGATGTCTATTTTCCGTAGAAAATCGCTTGTGTCCTGAATGTAAGAGGGCAATTTGCGAACCAGGGGTTTAAGGTGATGGTCAACAAACTTTATATGTTTTCCATGGGGGTGTTGTTGCCAGATATGATAGGGCAACCTGGGTTTCCTTCCTTATGAATTTGAGGGAGCAGATAGAATTGTGCAGTACGGCAGTTGGATGGCGTTGAGAAATCCCTTATCTTTTTTGTTGATGTCTTCCTTATCATAAGCAACTTTAATAGCATCAGAGACTATTTTGATGTGTTTGGGAGTGAGGTTGGATGGGAGCTTTTTATAGAAGTTGCGGTCGTCAAGTTGTCAATTAGCCTCATTTATATACCAAGTTTTGTCCATTACTACTACAGCCGAACCCTTATCAGCTTGCTTGATTACAATGTCAGTTCTTTGACGGATTTCTCTGAGGGCCTTGTGTTAGTTATTGGGGAGGTTATCATAGGTATTACGGACAGGTTTACTCAAAGTGTCTGGTCTGATGCAGTCAATGAAAACCTCAATGGCGGGGACCCTGTTGGTTGGGGGTGTCCATGTACACTTTTTCCTAAACTTGAGTTCTTGGCATGAGTTAACTGGTTCTGTTGAGTCTTCGTCGTGGAAGAATTCCCTCAGGCGGAGGCGTCTTCCGCATTCATTGATGGAGGCTTGTGTTTCCAGTGGTTTTGGTGGGTGGGGTGTAGGGCAGAATGAGAGCCCACGAGATAGAAGGGCTGTCTCATCCGGTGTCAAGGGCGTGGCTGAGAGATTTATCACTACGGAGGGGTCCTGGGTGTGTTCCTGCTGGCTTGCCCGTTTGCGTTGTTTGTATAGTTTATGGGGGATAAATCTGCAAGATCTTGATGCACGTTTGCCGGTAACTATACACTAATACGCAAACAAATGAAATGCTTAGAAATGGAAACACTCATGTTTAGGCAAAGTCAGTCCTAAAAATATCAAAGTCACAGAGTGGAAAACAACTTAAGAAACTAATTAATAGAAAGAATTACTACAAAATATCTATATCACTGAATTTGTAACCAAATATACCCAAATAATGAAAACAAAACTCACCAAAAGAAAAAGCAGACGAGTCAATCAAGGCATGCATGTAGGGCTGGGGATAGAAACGTTTTGACTGTTCCTCTTCACTGCCTGTCTGCTAAATGACATGCTCCACACACAAGGATGGGGACATTCCTAAGTGTTACATAATCTGAGGGATGAGCACTCTTAAATGTACAGGGGTCAATCTAGGTACCATGTGAAGCACAGGGGAACTTCACCAGGGTGGGTCATACTAGCAAAAACAATAATGCATGGGAAACTACTCCTACAAAAACAACTAAGGGAAATTTGCCCCTATTACACCTGCATAATGTCAGGTTAATTGGCAAGACTGTATGGTGCAGGATTCCATACTTTGGGATAAGTTAATCCTCATCTGTTCTTAGCATGCATGCACATCTTCTACGTCTGTCTCCAACCACCATGATTCCACTGACTGAGATTAATTTCTTCAGCCAGGAGTTATGTAGACCGATCTTCATCCTCGGCAAACAGCAGAATTTTGACATGCTTCGAGTCTTTAGAACAAGTATTTGTCCTACAGAGTCTGATCAGATGTGGTTTTATGTAACTTCATACATAAGGGGTTCATCAGACACTTCTTTGAAGCATTATAGACTGGAATTCTTATTTACCTCGGTTCTCCCTGACCACGAGCTTCTGCTTCAACTTACACTTGTTTGTTGCTTTAGAGAAGGCTATCATTCCTTAGGGAATGAACTACCAGTAGATCAGGATACTTCCAACTGGATTGGTTTGGGTTTACTTCACCTTTTTTCTCAGTCGGTATAAGTCTGACATATGGCGGCCCATTATCAAAGTTTTACATTCAGCATAGGACTTCAGATGGAAATGCTGTCTATATACCTCCCTCCATTCTCTGAAGACAGGTCGGTTCGCTGCTTGCATCCATCATTGGGATGCTAATGTCCTTGTACGGTACCCATACGTGGATCATCAGAAGTTGGAGTTCCGTGTACCTACTGGGTTTCACTGCAGACTTTTTGGATTTTCACATTTCCTTTGGGTCTTTGTTGTGGCAGCATTCCTTTTTACAGCAAAACAGATCCATTTGCTCTTGTACTTAGATGATAGGCTATAACAGACCTTATCTGCAGTATAGCCTTTAAAGTCTGCCTAACTCGCATTTGATGATGTTTTTCAACTTCAGTATCGAGCTCCTTCCCGACAACTGACCTACCTTGAAACATTTTCCAAATTGGTGTCAGGCATTACTGGGGAATTTGCAGTATTTTTTTGTTTGGCCTACATGTAAGTAGGGATATGACAATAAGCCAGTTCGGTATGAATCAAATTAGGTTTTGCCCTTCACCGACGTTTAAACACTGTGTACTCGGTGTGTATTACCTCCCGAGTGAAAGTTGGGAAAAATCACTCGGGTGGGACTCGAACCCACGACCTCCTGCTTTCTAGTGCAGATGTCTTACCACTCGACCACTGAGCTAACGGGATCGGTTGGCTGGTTCGAATCTGTGATTTTTCCCGAGTGATTTTTTCCCAACTTTCACTCGGGAGGTAACACACTGAGTATACAGTATTTAAACGTCGGTGAAGGGCAAAAACCTAAATTGATTTATATCACCCCGACGCAAAATTTCATCTTATAACAGTTCGGTATGTTTAACTGTGCATTGCGCACAATGTTAGGAGTCTAGTCAAAAGGGAATGAATGTGTGGGGAGACGGGCACACAATACTCGCGTTTTAATTACAAGCAGAATGGGTGTTTGTGTAACAGCGCGAAAATAAAAATAAGCGATTTTATTCCGAATGACATTTGACCATGAAACTTCATTGAGATACCAAACTGGCTTATTAGCTTGACAAAGTAGGACATTTATTTCCTTGTCACCATGACTACAGAAAAGCCATCCTTGTTTTTAAGATGGGATACAATGGTATCCTTGGCTCAAAATTTCTTACACTAATATATTCTACTGGTATGTCATGTCCGTTGAGAAGAGGAACTTTGAATGGGAACATTTAGTTCAGTACCAATCTTATTACAAATGTTACTTTCTTTCAAATCATTGCATCTATTTGGCATTCAGTTGAATACAGATCTTGCTTTCATTTTAAGTATTTGTTGACAAGCCTAATATTTGTTTTAATTATTTACATTACTTGTTGATTAATTTAGTATTTATATGCTTTGTTCCTCCTTTATTTCATACTCTTTATAAAAAATATTTATGCTGTTTATTGAGTTTCTCATTTAAAGGGAAGATACAAGTCAGTTCAACAATATTTGCTGTAACATACAAATCCTCCATATCCATTTATTTCTCAAAAACTGCATCAAAAGCACATGTTGTACATTTCCTTTAATGTTATTTATTCATGGAACCATTTTGTGTCTTGTATTTTCAGCAATGTGGAAATAAATGTACTGGTATGAATAATTGTTTGAGAAATACATCATTTTATTACATGTATTAGTAAACATTTACATTGTACTGTACTGATATTTCAATGTGATGTTCTTCCAGCTATCTTCATTTAGTGGAAGACACCGTTCTCCAACCACTTGGAGTTCCAAAAGCTGTGTAAGTGCTGGCTTCCGATATCATGGTGGCAACATGATTGCAACAGACACAGATGCTTCAGAGTTGCTGCTACGACACTATGTGTTTGAGGCATTGATTGGTATGTGCAAGAAACAAATTCAGATGATTTATACAGAAATGTTAAGAGATGTTTTTAGTACTAATCAAATCAAATTTTTGTCATTTATCATAACTACACTATAAACATATACGCAATTTTCTATTACGAATCCAAGTGCATGTACAGAGACCATTTCATTTTGACACCCCTATGTATGTACCTTTATTTCTTCTTTTAAGTACAAACTTAGGGTCATTAGTTTGCGTGTCTAGGATACATTACCTGCCTTATTCCAGGGTCTGTTCTAGCTGGATAGTGCAAAGTTGCAGGGATGACACATTCAAAAGTCAATCAGATTGTTGTAAATGAATGTCCTCAACCAATAACATTTCCCAATCTTAGATATTTTGCCCTTCATCAAGGTTTTGCCCTTCATCAAGGTTTTGCCCTTCACAGACATTAATTATAAACGCTGTATACTCATACTGGCTGACAGACTTCACAAGGCTATACCCAGAGGGCCTCCAGCCCATGCAAGACCACATTCTTAACCACTTGATTATTGAGCTTGCTGGGGGTCAGCTTGCTGGTTCCAATCTGCAACGTGGCAATGAACACAGTGCGAATTTCACCCTGAGTGTGTGACATGCATTTTTGTTGTCCAGGCACGTGATCAACCTTGACCAATCAATGCAAGACCACGTTCTTAACCACTTGATTATTGATTATTTAAGTTCATTCAACAGAAGTCTGTCTGATCACTTCCAAGATCTCGGATAACTTTTCTATAGTGCTCACCTGATATGTATATTTATGTGTAAATCTCTAGTTCCGCTTGTGTGTTTGTTTTTCAACAGCATTTCATTTGTATGTTTTTGGGGGTGTTTGTTTGTTGGGTTGTTTTGGTTTGTTTGTTGGGATGTTTGTTGGGGTGTTGGGGTGTATTATCCCTCAGCCGAGAGGCTCGAGGGGTATTGTCATCGCCTAGGGCGTCTGTCCGTCCGTCCGTACGGACGTCCGTCCGGGCAGCTCAGTTTCCGGATGATAACTTGAGTTAGAAATGTTGTTTGGGGTTGTAACTTCGGTAGGGGTTTGCCCTTGGGAGTAGGCAAGTTGGGATTGGTTTTGAGGTCAAAAGGTCAAAGGTTAAGGTCACCGTGGTGAGTTTAAGGTAAATGGTTTCCGGATGATAACTTGAGTTAGAAATGAGATTTTGGTGTCTAACTTTGGTAGAGGGTTGCCCTTGGGAGTAGGCAAGTTGGGATTGGTTTTGGGGTCAAAAGGTCAAAGGTCAAGGTCACCATGGTGAGTTAAAGGTAAATGGTTTTTCGGATGATAACTTGAGTAAGAAATGAAATTTTGGTGTCTGACTTAGGTAGGGGGTTGCCCTTGGGTACAGGCAAGTTTGGATTGGTTTTGGGATCAAAAGGTCAAGGTCACCGTGGTGAGTTCAATGTAAATGGTTTCCGGATGGTAACTTGAGTAAGAAATGAGTTTTTGGTGTCTAACTTCGGTAGGGGGTTGCCCTTGGGAGTAGGCAAGTTGGGATTGGTTTTAGGGTCAAAAGGTCAAAGGTCAAGGTCACCGTGGTGAGTTAAATGTAAATGGTTTTTCGGATGATAACTTGAGTAAGAAATGAAATTTTGGTGTCTGACTTAGGTAGGGGGTTGCCCTTGGGTACAGGCAAGTTGGGATTGGTTTTGGGGTTCAAAGGTCAAGGTCACTGTGGTGAGTTTAATGTCAATGGTTCCAAATGATAACTTGAGTTAGAAATGAAATTTTGGTGTCTAACTTCGGTAGGGGGCTTCCCATTGGTACAGGCATGTTGGGACTGGTTCTGGGGTCAAAGGCCAAAGATCAAGGTCACCATGTTGAGTTAAAGGTTAATGGTTTTCAGATGATAACTTGACTCTGGCTGAGGGGTTTCAACAGCAACGCTGTTATTTATTGCTTTGACATTGTACTTTTGTTCATTTGTTGGCCGAATAAATAATGATAATAATAATGAAATTACAGAGTCTAAGCGCACGATATAACAATTGTATTTATTGCATACTTCCATGACTGTATACACATGGTGGTGACTATGAACATTGCTGGCAACTGAAATAAACATACCATTTTCTGTTCAATGTGACAAAAAGTGGCCTCAGTTTGAGGACCTTGACAGAATCAAGCAAATTCAAATCCATCAGATAAGCAGCAGAGATCATATTCAATATAGTGACATGTTTTCCAATGTTTGATTTCTTGTTAAGCAGCCAAGGATAGGTCGCCCTTATGGGACCAGGTTCAATTTTGGGAGGATTCCTTTCTGGATTCTGTAGCAGCTGAGAGGGATGCAGTTGGCATGGATCAAGGACCTGCTGAAATGATTCACAGGTACATCATATTATCTCACTACACTTTTCCATCACTGTGAAAGTACTGCTGTAGGTATTTATTCATCAACTGAAAATGTAATTTAGTCATTTCAATCCAGTTCAGCTCCTAAGTGGTCATTACAATAAAGGTATCTTTTGTCTAAAGAGTCTGTGGCAAACAAATTTGATATTACTTATTACCTCACCCGAATACTCCAAATGCAGCTATAGAGTGTGATTATTGCAATAGTACACATTCTCGTAATAATACATGTCTGTAATCATCACAACAATGGCAATAACAACAACAACTAGTGACAAATAAATTCAAAGTGTCGTGCTAATGTTGCAGGGTATCAACCTGCTAAAACAAAAAATAACATGCTTATTGCTTGGTCAAAAAGTGACTCCGAGAATCTCTTTGTTTTAACTGTTGATTGATACGGATGGCACACATACAAATTCTAAATGTAGTTGTAACACTTGTACTGCATCTTGGAATACTATCAGTAACACAACTAGCCTATTACTTTCCTAAAAAAATGATTTGTAAAGGATAATTAAATAACCCCTAGTACAGATTGTATAAGAGGTTGCCAATTGGTCTGTTTGTTTCAGATATGACTCCCTTACTCCAAGTGAAAAGAAGAGACTTGAAGAAGATGAAGACAAACTCCTTGCGGGTTAGTAGCAAACAGTTTAATCAATTACATTGAACATTGTCTCCAACAGTTTCTGTGCTCAATTCATACATTTTCATTAGGAATGAATGCAAAGAAGTTCAAGGAAGCCAAACAAACTCAACTGTTGTTTACATTCTTTAATAATGTATCAAGCAGACTGTCTGACATATCAAGCGAATACGCAAACGTGTTTATATACGAAAGAAAACTGAGCTTCATGTAATCATTTGCTTACATGATGCTGGATCAATGCTGGTTCTGGGGCCATTTATTCGCTTGTTATTGAAGCCGGTCTTTATATGACATGTTAATGCACCCCCACGTGATCGAGTCTCGACCAATAAGAAGCTATCGACTATCCAAGGTACATTCTTTAATAATGTATCAAGCAGACTTTCTGACATATCAAGCGAATACACATACATGTTTATAAAAAAAAAGTGAGCTTCAGGTAAAATTTAATAACTAGTGCATTTGGCCAGAATGTTTTATGATGCTCGCTGCCTGGCATTCAAAAAGAAAGGGAAACCGTAACATTCACAAAGAAACACTGACTAAATAATTGACATTTGAATTGATAAATAATATTGAAGCTTTTGCCAGTGCACATGTAGGTATTATTTTACTTATTTTTCTTCTATTTTCATTGATAGATATGTTGTCCAATGCCATAGCGTTCATGATTATGATGAAATTACCCAAGCCAGAAGTAAAACGTAAAGTTCGTCGTTTATTGGGACGGTCTCACATCGGTTTAGTCTATAGCCAAGAGGTGAATGACCTACTGGATCAAATCAACAATCTGGTAAGAAGAACCACTTCTTTTCTTATAAGAATGTATTGTAATTTCCAAAAGAACACTTGATGTTTGACAAATGTCCAGTATTGTTGACATTTTCTCTGCCCTTACCATTTACGAGTTTCACCCCCCCAAAACAATTTTTGGGGGGCAGGACAAAGATTATTCACTTTTGAATGAGAACTTCTACTGAGCTGTACTTACCCGTAAAGTATTAGTGAGTATTGCTACATATGCATTATTCCCTAGAGGGCACTAGCCATTCACACAGGCTGCAAGTTACTCAAGCCGTACCCAAGTACGCGCTCAATTACACGCCTACATGCTCAAGAAAAGAGGAAGTATTGTGGGCGGGCCGCATTGGCCAGTGCCCTCTGGGGAATACATGTAATGCATATGTAGCAATACTCTATGGGTAAGTATTTGCTATTAGAATCGGCCCACACCTTTTTTTTGGGGGGGGAAGGAATTTACTGTACAAATTAAAAATGAATTGAATGGGATTAACCTGAATTTTACAAATAAAAAAAGTGGTCTGTCCTCCAGTCCTTTTTTTGTGTTTCTCCTTGCGACCCTGCATGCTTATGTGCCCCCTACATATTTGTTCCTTGTTCCTCTGTCATTTGCCTCTGAAGAAGGTCTTGCTATTTAACATGTTTAAAGGCTGAAATATCAGGTCATTTTAATTGTTTGCATTGTGCCAAGTGTTGATTATTTGCATCCTGACAATAAGTCTTTAATAAGTCTATATCTTTTGGGCATTATTTGAGCAAAGCAATCCAAAATATAAGTGTCTTTTCAGAGGATTGAAAACATCCAGGATGGGGAGAGTAGACAAATTGAAAAGTTGTTAAAAGAAAAAAAAGATGAGTTGAGCAACTTGCATGAAATACGTGACAGAGGATGGTGTCTGTGAAAGGTGAGATTGTGAGTATTTGTGTATTAGAATTAACGTCGTCAAGTTTGCTCCAGACATCGTCAATGTAGCCATTGTTATTGAACTAAATGTCTAGGCATATCTAACTCAGTAACATATTGCTCTGATTCATGCTCCCATGTTATTTAGCATGGCAATGACATTGATCTGAAGCCATCAGGCAGTAAACGTATGCGGAAACATTCATTTGTGGTTCATGCTGGGACTGACACTAAAGGAGATGTGCTTTTCATGGAGGTAACATATTCTTAATATATTCACATAGTAAATGAAAATAGAAAATGTCCCCCCTTGTCATTCATTGATTGAGGTCTGGAAACCTAGTTTTACTGGTCTTGTACTCAGTTTCTCTAGGGCTCTGAACCTCAAAAGTCTCAGTCTTTGTCTCGGGCCTCATCAATGCCTCTCAATCACGACTCGAGGCTAGACAAGACCAGAAATAAAACTAAACGTGTGTTTGTAGGTGACAAAACGGGGCTATTTCGGCATATTTCATGCATGTTTAGTTTATAGGCTGATAGGATAAACATGTGCAGTGGACAGTTGCAGAATGATTAGATGTGTAGTTCTAAAGATATATCACACTGATGAAATGCAACATCAATGCTGCATCAGTGACACAAGGCATAAAAATAAGGGGGACATTGACAATTGAACATTTGGAAACAAATTGTACACTATAACTCTGCAGATAATTCTTTGAAAATTCACTTTTATTGTGATGTCACATGGTATGTGATGACATCATGACGTCTCATGATATCCCGTTCTAGGTACATTCCAAGTTACAACCAAATTAAACAAATAATTCTTAAACTATAGGCCTACAAACATCTACTTTCATGTCACAACACATGATGCTTGATGACACCATCATGACATCACTATAACACATCCCAGTCTATGAATAGACCAAGTTTCAACCCAATTGGTCCTGTAGTTCTGTAGATATGGACCTTCAAAATATGCATCTTTAATGTGACGTCACAGGATGACATCCTGAGTGTGCCAACTATGAAGGCACTTGGATTGACATAAGAGCCCAAAGTACTAGGAACGTAGAAAACATGTACACATGCTATGGAAAGGTGTCTTTAAAAAGAAAAAAAAGAAAGGTAATGAAGGTAATGATCCAATCCCCCCCCCCAAAAAAATGTAAACAAACACAACACTTTTTGGGGGGCTAGTTTAAGAAACAAAGTATGTTAAAAACATATCCATATTGTCCATTCTGTCTCATCAAACACACTTATCACAACAGCCTTCAGATGTACAAACACAAATGAACGTGATAAGCTGAATCCTTTTTCAAAGTTTTATCAAATATTGAGTCACTGATCAGAATGATCTGACAATGTGAATTGCCGTCCGAACTCTTGGCTTTTCAATGATTCATCATTTGAAATTATCCCTAGTCCTCCTTAGTACATGTACATTAGTAATAATGGAACTACAACATAAGTTATACATGTAGCAACATATATATTTTTTATTTCCATTTTAAAAATGTTGTATTACATGGGCCATTAATTTTTCAATCATTTAACAGTAGGAATCTATTGCCATGTTAAATTTGTATCATTTAAATATTTTTGGCTGTTTCGGCAACTTGATGAAACAGCCTTTGTTTTCGTTAAGAATGTTTTTGTCTTTTTTGTGTTTGTCGTTTTTCAGCCATTTCCCTTAGCATTTGTACACCTTTTCATCATGCATGGCACTTTGGGGCCAAAAATTAATCCGATTGCTTTTTACTCGGCGCACACTTAGACCAGCAGATGTGTGCTGAACATTGACGTAATCATGACATCATCACGTGTCACGTGACATCACAATAAAAAAGGTGCATACTTTGAAGGTTCATATCTCCAGAACTGCAGGTCCGATTGTTTTGAAACGTGGTATGTACCTAGACCGGGATGTGTTATGGACGAAAATTGAAAAGACGTAATGATGACGTCATCAAGGGTCACGTGACGTCACATTCAAGATTAATAGATTTAATCTTTGAAAATCAATATAAAATCAACTATGAGAGAGACCTGAACTGGACATTTGCGGAAATTGGTAGAATAATCCAGGATCTTTATTTTATCTCGGTGCGCAAAATCACGTGACCCTTCCTTCCAGTCCAAACCGGAATTGCCTTACAATTTGAAATTGGAAAAAAAATGTGAACTTGCTTTCAATGGTGTTAGTCTCTGGCTAGGTTGTACTTAAAAAAAAAATTACCGTTGACATCACAAAATGTTCTAACGCCCTATAGCGGCAGGTTGAACAATTTTTAAAATTAATAATCAATTTATGCGTGTGGCAAAATTTGCTGAAATCACTTATTTTGCTGAAATTCACATGTGAAAAAATTGTGCACTTTTGCATAAAAGCGTGAAACTTGGCACAGATGTTTATATTCATGCGAGAAAATGTTTTAAATGTGGAGCCATCGCAAATTTACCTTTTTAGGGGCGTGGCATCCATTTAAAAAAGGGGGGGCGGGACTTGTCGTGCCCGCAGTTAAAACGGTTGTTTCCACTTGTCACAAAAGTAGGAAACTTCACAAAGACATATTGATATAGATTATAAGTGTTTTCCAGATTCGGAGCCACCACAAAAGTACCTTTTTGGGGCGTGGCAGCTATTAAAAGAAAAGGGGGGGGAATTTATTATCCCCACCTTGGAAAACATTGTACCCATATTTCATGAACGAATTAAACGTCCCACAGACGTTTATATTCATGAGATAAAAAATTCCAGATGTGGAGCCATCTCGAACACACCCTTTTAGGGTCGTGGCAACCATATAAGAAAAACAGGAGGCGGGGTTTTCATTATGCCCACCCTGGAAATATTGTTCCCACACTCATAGGGAAATGTAACTTTCCACAGACGTTGACATTCATGAGAAAAACAATGCCAGATGTGGAGCCATCGTAAACACACCCTTTTAGGGGCGTGGCAGCCATATTGACAAAAAGGGGGGGGGGCGGGGTTCTCATTATGCCCAACATGGGAAAAATGGGCCTGCGTCGCATAAACGAATGAAGCTAATTCCCACAGGCATTTATATTGACGAGAAAAAAAATCACACGTGAAGCCATCGTAAACACACCCTGTTAGGGGCGTGGCAGCCATAGTAAAATCGGGGGGCGGGGGGTAGTCATGATGCCCCTATAAAAGAAAGTTGTGCCTATACCTTTCATAAATGGATGAAACTCCACACGGACAATATATTCATGAAGATCTTTTTTTTTTTTAATGTGAAGCCATCACAAACCTACCCATTTAGAGGCATGGCGTCCATTTTTAAAATGGGGGGGGGGGGGTACTCAATATGCACACCGTGGAAGATTTTGACCGCGTTTCATTTAATAAATCCACCTCAGATAGCTCTTCTAATGTGTTGGAGTAGGGCTGCCTTTATAGTTGGAAGTTACTGTTGGCAAACCCTTTGTTTTCTTACACTATGCATTCTTGCCTCATCTATATTAACCCAGTTACTGGTTCTGTTGTCTGTAGAATTATTGTTAACCTCTGAACTGCAGCAATTTCTGAATTGGGGTGTAAACTGGGGTACGTCAGTTAGTTTTGGAAAGACTAGTGTTACTTCTTCAAATGCATTGTTTCCCCTGCCTTTTTTCTGACAGACCAAAAGGCATATTCAGTGTCACACCTGTATAAAGTAGCCTATAAAATGTTGTCAGGGCAACTGATTTTTTAATGGATTTGGTTGGGGTTAAAAAAAAAACACCACTCATCAGAGCTTGATATACCATTTTTAAGAGAACAGAGGGGTTGTATGATGGGGGCGCACAGATTCATTGAATGTAAAGTCATTGTGGACGTGACCACCACGGTGATGAGAGTACATCCTGTTATGACCCAACCTGCTGTCAATGCGGCGCAACGGGTAGGGGGATTTTGCACTCCCCCCCCCCCCCCCCACCAGGAGAAAAAGAGGAAAGATAACGGGGAAAAAATGGAATGAAAGTCAATATTTTACTTCACATACGTCATTTATGGCGGATAATGGCGCGGTATAAATTTCCATTATTATTATTTAATGTATATAAAGACTATTTAAATGGCCATAAAATGTGATTATTTAAGCGCCCCAAGCGTCATATGACCTGTGGGCATTGTGGGCACAGTGAGTAGGCCCCGCACACCTCTAAAAGGATGAGTTTGCTGTGGCTCCACATACAAATTTATTTTCTTTCAACAAGTTTGTGTGAAGTTTACTCATTTATGAAAGTTCGATGGTGGGCAAATGATAAGTAGCAACCCCCATTTTTAAAAAAAATAGATGCCATGCATCTAAAAGTGTAAGTTTGTGACGGCTTCACATTAAAAAAAAGAAAGATTTTCATGAATATATTGTCCGTGTGGAGTTTAATCCATTTATGAAATGTAGGCACAACTTTCTTTTATAGGGGCATCATGACTACCTTCCGCCCCCTGATTTTACTATGGCTGCCACGCCCCTAAATGGGTGTGTTTACGATGGCTTCATGTGTGATTTTTTTTCTCGTCAATATATAAATGCCTGTGGGAATTAGCTTCATTCGTTTATGCGACGCAGGCCCATTTTTCCCATGTTGGGCATAATGAGAACCTCGCCCCCCCCCCCCCTTTTTGTCAATATGGCTGCCACGCCCCTAAAAGGGTGTGTTCACGATGGCTCCACATCTGGAATTATTTTTCTCATGAATGTCAATGTCTGTGGAAAGTTCCATTTCCCTATGAATATGGTAACAATATTTCCAGGGTGGGCATAATGAAAACCCCGCCTCCTGTTTTCTTATATGGTTGCCATGCCCCTAAAAGGGTGCGTTTGAGATGGCTCCACATCTGGAATTTTTTATCTCATGAATATAAACGTCTGTGGGACGCTTAATTCGTTCATGAAATATGGGCACAACGTTTTCCAAAGTGGGCATATAATTACCCCCCCCCCTTCTTTTAATAGCTGCCACGCCCCCAAAAAGGTACTTTTGTGGTGGCTCCGAATCTGGAAAACACTTAAAAAATCTATAAAATTATGTCTTTGTGAAGTTTCCTACTTTTGTGACAAGTGGAAACAACCGTTTTAACTGCGGGCACGATAAGTCCCGCCCCCCTTTTTTCAAATGGATGCCACGCCCCTAAAAGGGTAAATTTACGATGGCTCCACATCTAAAACATTTTCTCGCATGAATATAAACATCTGTGCCAAGTTTCACGCTTTTATGCAAAAGTGCACA